AACAACTAACAAGAACACATAATCACACATTAATTTACACATGTAACAGTACATACAACATGAGCACTCTACATCATTCTGTGCCTGCTGCTATTGTCAGGAAAACTGAAGCCACAGTTTGATGCTTGAGTAGCTGGTATATTATCGCTGTGCTTTTGTTACTATAATTAAATCATAAAGTTGCCTGATCCCTGAGTGATTTGTCTTTCTATGGCATTTAAAATAATCCTAAATTGCTTGTATGTTTTAAATGAATCATAAAATTTGGGGCAGCATGCTTGTCTGTCACACAGAAACGAAATGAACATTTTCTTCTATATCTCTGCACAAATGCAGCCAATTTTACATAGAATGAATGTATTATATCATCTGTTCAATATATAAAGATGAATTACAATACTTTTAACAGTTAAACATTTAAAAAACAAAACAAACTTTACACATACTAAATAGTAGCACATTCAAACTGGCACATTAAAAAAAGCTACTTCATCACAAAATCACATTCTTTGGCATTTAGCTAAAATGAATAAATGATTTATGAATGCAAATGCCCAAACAAATACTAGAACTCAAACAAGCGGTACATACATACAGAATTACAGAATATTTTCCATCTCATTTCAACAAATTCAAGCTTCATTCATTCCACATCTACCTACAGTGAACTGTACATCTCATTCAAAATAGGTCTAAGAACACATAATAACAAAACAAATTTCTGATATCTTAATGATTACTGTTTATTTGGGTGTGCATGGTGTATCAGAATGTTTTAGTCATAAAAAGCTGATATAATGGGAACAAAATAAACAAACTAAAACATCAACTCGCCAAACACTGGTTTGCTGATGCCTCTAACAATCACAACAGACTAATTTTAACATGGAAGCCAAGGCCTGTTTTGCCAGAAAAAAATGGTTGAAATTTTATGTCTGTATATTTTCCTGCAGTTACCAGTCAAACTGATCATGATGGAAAAAGACAGTGTCTACTCTGTTCTAATAAAGTTATTTCAACTCTCTTATAGCGATTACAAAACTGACTCCTTTTACAGTTTTTGAATTGTTATGTAATGAAAGAATAAGAGAATGCAAATTAAAGTAAAATCTCACTAATTCAGATCAAATGGGTGAAGAGGTGGTCCAAATTATAGGACATATGTAAATATTTTAAGTCACGGTTCATAAAAATAAACAAATTTGTTGCAGTCCACAACATTAACTTAGATTGTATCAAGACATAAATACTGTTACGATGAAATGAAAAACAAAATGTTATAAAGATATTTATGTTCAATACAAAACTGAACTTAATTCAGAAAAAACTAGATACTATATTTGTACTCTGATACACTATACAAGAAGCAGGAAACTGTCATTAAATTCTAAGTCATGAAAAATAAAAATTTCAGAGGGTCTGGGTTACTGAGGTTTTACTCTAAATCATTAACCTTTATTTTCCAGGAGGGAATATTATTTATCCAGAGGTATGATGTAAATGGTCAGAGGTGTTGAGCATATTCAAATACAGAAGACATAAAAGCAGTTACTGAAAATAATGAGTAAGGTAAATAGCATCCTCCATCATCATAATCACCCGGGGCAGGCTACAACAGGCCAATCAGTGGCCGGCATGCCGAGTGGACCCAGTTGGTCTCCACCCCCCATTAAGTGAATTAAAAAAAAAAAAAAAAAGGTAAATAGCATGTGAAAGATAACATTATAAATGAACATATACACTGATAAATAACTTTCCATTAAATACAGAGGAATTAAGGCAAAGGATGTAATGAATCACCATGGATAGTAATAAATGGTACTTTAGAGACTGTGTATTTATCACTCCAAATATAACGCAAATAGTGCACTGTTTACTGGATTAAATGCCATCCAAAATGATGTATACTTAACCTCAATTTGAGGTTCTCACAGTGATGCCTATGAAGACATCTAGGCATTTCAGTTGGAAGTTCACTGGTGCTTAAGAGGAATGCACAGTCTCCACCTAGAGGACAATGAGTAACAGAACCAAAAGAATCAGCAAGAATAAAGTGGCAAGCAGAGTGAACCATGTGTGGAAAACCAGGATCTAATATAGGCCAGGAAGACCTCAGAGAGAGCCAACGGGAACACACACTGCATGCACATGGTTTGCTCTGCTTGCCACTTGCTTCTTGCTCATTATTTATTTGGCACACTCTTCAACCCTGTGCTTTCCACTGAAACACTCATGAATTTCTATCGAACCACATGACACTACACACCAGAAAAGAATATTTTTCAATGCATATCTAATTTTCAGGAATTATATTAGCTGATACAAAAACTTCCAGTTTTTTCTACCACAACCAAAATCTCATTCAGGCATCTAACAATTTCTTAAACAATGAATAGTTTCTTGCAAATTTAGGTTTTTATTATGAATTAGCATCTTGGACATTACTCACACTCAATTTCATTTTCAGTTTGTCATAAATGTAATGTGGAAAACATTAATATTAATAATGATGATGTGTACATAAAGATATAGAGCAAATAATGATTTTGTTCTCTTCCTACAAATCAGTATCTTGTGATTATCACAAATTTTGGCCAGAACACTTGAAAGACCTAGGCATTGATGGAAGAATATTAAAATGGACCTTAATGAAATAGAATGAGAGGGCATGGACTGGATTTCATCTGGCTCAGGACAGGGATCAATAGTGGTCTAATGAACCTTAAGGTTCCATCAGGGAATGGAATATCATGAACAACTGTTCTTCACTTCTCAAGCACTCTGCTCCATACTTAATCATAAAACCTTTTCAACATGCACACAAGAGTACTATTCAGAGGTGTGTAGCTGCACTGTATTTCATGGACTCAATAGTATAATCCACAGACAGCAGTTACTATGTTTGCAAAAATAATTTGACCCTCAAATCTGTAAAAGTGGTTTCAGGAGTGTCATTTGTCTGTATTTGTGCACAAATCTTGTCCCTGAATAAATCAGAAGATTTTATTTTTATAATTTATATATTAGAAAGATGAGGGATCGTGTGGTAGCACAGTTGGTTGAGACACTATGCTACAAGCCAGATCACAGGCTTGATTCCTGTTGTCACTGGATTTTTCAAGTGACCTAGTCCTGCCAGCTGCACTATGACCCTGGGGTTAACCCAGCCTCTTAGCAGAAATGAGTGCCAGGAATCTTCCTGGGGGTGAACAGTGGCTGGCACGTAAGGCTGACAACCTCACTGCCATATGTGAGTTAACCATCTAGAAAACATGGGAGCCTTTAAGTCTCACAACATTATGGGTCTCCACAAATTGTCACAGGCAGCATTATTAAAATAATGATCTATACATATAAATTTAACAGTTTAAAAGTTAAGAATACTTCTGATGAAAACTGACAGACAATGGCATTAACAATTTTGACTACATTTTTCACTCTTATAGCACAACCAAGGGTCTAATTTGAGAAAATGTGATCACAGGATCATTAGGGATCTTTCTTTAAACAATCAATTGATATACAAATAATCAAATTATGAATTAAGATTATTCCAGTATCAACAGTTACCTCACAGAATGTTTTGGGTGGGGTCCTAAGTTTTAATTCGCTTATCCAGTTAACTATGACAGTCAGAAGAACATGTAAGTCACACATTCCAAGAAATAGATCTTGCAGATCTCTACAACCTGATAGTTCATTACCAGTATTACTCCTTCTGTACCAGTTAGATTCATATAAAAAATTAAAACTTGTTTCCTTAAAATCCAGTGACATCCAACCAACCATCTTCATCCTTTTAGAATTCACCTTCCAACAGATTTTGCTACCAGATTCTGTATCAGAATGTTGTCAATACAGATATTGTAAAAGTGTTAAAAAGTTCTATCAATTGCATAATGCAAACTGCATTACAGGAAAAATAAAATTCTACCTGTGCTTAATTATGCACATCATGAAGTCAGGGATCTGGAGGATTCTTATCATTGGCATTAGACTGAGGTCAGTAGTCAGATGAGTAGGCCCCAGGGCTGGTCATTACTTGCTCAAAATATTTCTCTTCCAAACAGGTATAAATTCACTGCAATCATTAAGCGAATAACCATAAAGTGAACACACTAAAGCAGTTTTCATTGGAAAGTAGAAACCAAACTCTAGGTAGTTACAATATTTATGGAATGCTCAAGAAATCATTACCTCTTTGAAAGTGAAACTAGGCTAGTTATTTGGTTAAGAAAAACAGCACTATTATGTGGGAGAGGTCCTTGGCCCCACTGCTACATTAACTAATGTAAATCCATGATATGTATGTAATGGCCGTCTTGTAGTGCACTCAATTTCACATGTCACTTCACTACATGTCTCGGCAACATTCTGCCATCCTCAGATGCTTTATTTACGCTAAGCTATTGCATTGCTTGCCATCATGCGTCTTTCATAAAATTATTAAAATGTACATTCTTCATCAAACTATAATAAAATTTGTATACACTAAAACTTGTTAAGATTATTCATCTTATGTGTCTTAATTCAAACTCACGTATTGTATGGTTCTTCCACTATGGGAGTCGTTTTTCCTATATTTTTTGTGTACTGTGTCTTGTGATGTGTCCTTCCTTTTTGGCTGCGAGCGTTGTAATGCTGGATGTGTGTGTGTGTGTGAATCAATACGAAGATACATACACATCCAACATTACAACGCTCGCAGCCAAAAAGGAAGGACACATCACAAGACACAGTACACAAAAAATATAGGAAAAACGACTCCCATAGTGGAAGAACCATACAATACGTGAGTTTGAATTAAGACACATAAGATGAATAATCTTAACAAGTTTTAGTGTATACAAATTTTATTATAGTTTGATGAAGAATGTACATTTTAATAATTTTATGAAAGACGCATGATGGCAAGCAATGCAATAGCTTAGCGTAAATAAATCTGAGGATGGCACAATGTTGCCGAAACATGTAGTGAAGTGACATGTGAAATTGAGTGCACTACAAGACGGCCATTACATACATATCATGGATGAGAATCAGTGCAACAGGACGCTAAAATACAACATAATGTAAATCTTCCAAATATTCAGATTTGATGTTCTCACAGTGATGACTACAAGTAAAATGTATCAGAAAAACCTGCTGCCTCCACTTTCAGAGGGAATCTTCTTCTACCTGGAGAATGAGGCAGCAGATCCCTCTGAAACATATTACATGATGTCACATCCCAGAACAGTAGTCTTAATATAAGAAAAACAAATTCAAGGAACATTCATAAGTAATCTTCATTTATTTAAAATATCCAAGAACACAGAGCTCCCTCTATGACCTCCCCCCCACAAAAAATGTCCACAGAATATGGCATATGATTCTAATATTGTTCATATTACCCCAAAATATAAAAATATACAAGTAGGGAGCTACCAATAAAATATATTCCACACATTAATTATTATACTGCAATATATGCCTAATATACCATAAAACATAGTATGTAGTTGTATTGATCGATCAAAGGCACAACAAACTCTGCATGACAATCTAATGCTAATTCATAGAACCTGGAACACCATCATACACCCACAACCCAAAATGTACCATGTATGTTATCATGCATACAGCCATTTTTCTAAATGGCACTCCTGTGAAGTGAAACTTCTTCTGCCAAACTCACTGTATACATTATTATGCCTTATATTTGGGTGAATGTTGTTCAGAAACTTTATGTTTCTATCAGCATCAGCATTTGAACACAAATTAGATTCTAAAGAGTTCTGACAATGTTGTATGACACTCAGAATTATGGGTTTTTGGACTTTCCCCACTGTCCAGCATTTTAATGAACTAGGAAACACAGCTTCTGTTTCCATCCTCAGGTGGGGGAGGAGACACCTACTCTGTTCGGTCCCTTAAAAAGAGCTAACCTCAATCACTGGACACCCCATGTCCGTATAACTACAGTTATATAAATAATTGAGACCAGGCTTTGTCAATGGGAGGTAAAAGGAAAATGTACAAAAATTGACAAAGCATGCGCAGACCTGAAGCTAGAATGCTGGAAATTGAAAGTAACAGACCAAAGAAATACAAGGAATCAGCCCATATGGCATGCTTAACCAATCCAATCAGCAGCCCAGTTTTGACATTTCTCCCATTTGGATTCCTCTCATCAGCAATGAGATTAGCAACTTACGGGGAAGACCTTCATGTGTTTCTATAAGATTTGGGTCCTTAGGGTTCAGTTTTTACTCCAAAGATGATGCTAGCAGTAAGCAAAAATTGGTTTTACAACATTCTCCAAATAATCCTATGCTTTTTTTTAATGGACTTGCTTTGTTGCATAAAAGTTCCATCTCCTTTTCTATCTTAATTTCACGTCTGAGCATGCTTTATTAAATTGTTATTGTACATTTCTCTTGTATTAATGTATTATTATTATTATTATTAATATATATGTACATTGTCACCCTTTTCCTAATAAACTTGCTGAGGATGCCAAAATCCCAAGAAATTTTCTGACTACAAAGCCTCTGTCACATTACAATCAGGACTGAGGCATATAGAGCTTAGAATTGTCTTAAGCAGTGCTATAATTTCCAGCAGTTCCGATGTCTCCGCAAACTGCAAGCAACCTCCCTTCTGTTTGGGATGTGGGGGCAGTCACCTGTGCAAGGAGTGCCCTGAGAAAATTCCCATCCTGCCAATTATTGGAGCTGCAGACATGCAAAGGATGATGTGCAGAAAAAGAAGTTGCAGAGGACACCCATGATTACAATGGGAAGGCTATTTCCCTTCCAACCTCACCACTCCACAGGTGTCTTTGCAGCAGCTCTCCAAGGCAGGACAGAGAGGAACAGCGGGTGGCACTGGCAGGGGCCGCCAAAATGGAACCCAGGGTCCCTGGGGCCTTACCCCAACACGAACAGCAGACAACAGGTCAGTTCAGGCCCAGTTTGCCTCTGGACAAAATGTTGAAAGTAGTAGTAATGTAGTACTGCACATTATGACCGAGTTTAATGGTGCTGTGTTAGAGGAGATTAATATAGTGGCCATTACAAAAATTGCCTTAAATCTCATGGAAGCAAATGGCCACAAGAGTTCATAGGCTCAAAAATGTCATAGCATTTAATGCAAATAGCATGAGCTGTTGTACATAGCCTGGGCTGACAGAGGCCTTGTAAAATGTAAACTGTACATGCTGAAAACAGACTTATTATTGCTGAGTGTGACTCAGGCAAACGAATTACCCTTCTCATCAAAGAGAGCGCCCCACATCAAGAAGCCTGTCATACAGTAATAAAGATCTGGTCTTATGCCCCAGACGGTCGCTTTATTCCTAGATACGCTGGCCGACTGACTGTCGGTCATAACATAACTTTGAACTTTGAACTTTGAACACAGTTTGTCCAGTGACTGAGGATAGGTCTTTCTATGGGACCCATGAAGAATCTGTCAGATCCTGCTGATCTTCCCTGTGAGTTGCTAATCTCATTGCTGATAAGAGGGATCCAAACAGAGAAATGTAAAAACTGGGCTGCTGATTGGATTGGTTAAGTATGCCATATGGGCTGATTCCTTGTATTTCTTTGACCTGTTACTTTCAATTTCCAGCATTCTAGCTTCAAGTCTGTGCATGCTTTGTCATTTTTTTGTACATTTTTCTTTTACTTCCCATTGACAAAGCCTGGTCTCAAGTATTTATATAACTGTAGTTACACTGATATGGGTTGTCCAGTGATTGATGTTAACTCTTTCTAAGGGACCCTACAGATTAGGTGAGGGCAGAAACAGATCCAGTTTCCAAACTGGGTTGTGTTCCACTTCTATAGAATGCCTGACAATGCCTGTTCAAAATCCTAGAAATTCCAACAAATGAAATAAATTATAAATCTGTTTTCCATACGCCTGTTCTGCCATACATTTGCAAAACCAAAACTGCAGGTTCACAGATGAGAACTTCCTAACAGGTATGCAGTTATTATTAAGAAACTCACGAGCACAAATTAATTAAAAAGTGACCACAGAGTACAGTCAGATACTGGATAAAAAATTAAATTAGACTGAGCAGGATCCATCACAAATAAATGTTTCTCAATCAAGGGATTCGAGGTGGTTCACAGTGACCTGAACAGCCGCTGTAGCATGTCTAGGTAACTGTGCAGTTTCTAGCTGCTGTACTTGGATACTACCAAGACAAAGAAAAGGACAGATAGATTGGGAACTATGCAATTCTTATTTTTAATCAAATACCTTCAGAGATGGTTTTAGAAATTAAACTGATTTTTTTTTACAATGAGTAAGTAAATTACATGTGCAATCAACAAACTGTTTATGATAATAAAACTGTTACCAACTAAGCTAGATATGTCTGACATCCTATACATAGAACAATTTACATTTTTATCTTTTGTCCTGGTTCTAATATATTTACATAGGTGGCTCTGGTTTCTGCAAAGAAAGCAGGACTTGTCTATCTCCACAACTCCTCTTTGTCGCACTTCCTAAGGTTGGAAGGCCCTGTGTGCCTCTGTGTTACTTTGTGATTTTTGAGGAATTTTGCAGTGACTCATAAAAGGTAATGCAAAATGTGTACCTGTTATGCTAGAATCTTAAGACTATGTTACTAAGTTACTTCAAGAGATTAACAGAGTACTGTTTCACATAAATTTCTACACTATCTCTCTCACAAAACCTGATCATATCTGTTGTGTCCTACATGTAGGATGTTAGGAACATACGCATATTCATATGATTCACTGTACTGCTAGAATATTACCAGCTTCCTTTATTTATGACTTCATTCTCAGTTTATATAGAGTAGGGCTACATTTTAAGAAATGTAATTCTGGGAATAAAAGCACAACTCTTGCTGAAATTATGGATATCCTTGAAGAAGCACAGGAGGACGTCCAAAAAAAAAGGGCCACTTGGTATTATTCTTCAACCCCTTGTGAATGTGTGTGAAGTCACTGATGAAGATTCTGAGAACGAAGGCAATTTAAATATAAATATTCTCCCAGGGAGTCAACTACAGTCACAAGCAGAGCTGTGCAGACACTGTTCATCAGATGTCAACTCAGGACCTCTAAATAAAACTAAGCACCATAGCTAGTTCATTATCTGACTGTCTGCGGAGTATTACTCTGAAGATACCACTAAACAAAATCCTTCTCCAGCAGAATACACCTTTCCACTATTCAATGAAAGTATGTGTGAATTAAGCGTGACAATGGCCAACCACCATTCAGCAAACTCCTGCCCCAACTAGAACATTCAAGACAGCCACAGCCAACAAACCAACACAACCATTAGGCAAACACATGCAGTTCAAGCTGGTTAACCCACATAAACAGAAAGACCATAAGTATCCAAAACAACTAAAGAGAAACAGAACAGCAGATTCCTTCATCACAACAAGCTGTACACCTGAAACATGTAGTGCCAATAAAGAGAAAACAATTAGTGATTAGTACCTAATGTTGCACACAGATGGCATTAAATCAAAATGCAAAGTGAGTGACAGAATCTAATACAAATCCCAATATGAGCAATTGGTTTGGAAGTATTACTGTAGGAGAAATGAAGTGCTTTATTGGCATTTTACTGTTAAGTACGTACATACCATGCCCACATCAAAGAATGCATTATGAACAGGGAAGTGAGATTCATAATCATCTCATCACCAATGCAATTATCTGAGACAGCCAGACACAATGCCTAGCAGTGAGAGAAGCTGCAGCAGTTGACTGTTACTTCTATTTTGACAGCAAACAGTTCTCCGAGAAGAGCTACTGGAAGAATGCCAGAAGGTCAAGATGGAGACAAGACATGTGTCTGCACTGATCACTTCATGAAGCCCCACAGAAGCAGGCGAGGTAGAGTTTGCCATGCTAAATGCTTTACTTGATGCAGGAAATGTGGGATACATATGAAGTGTTTTGTTATATAACATGGGAAGTAAAGGAGTATGAAAATGGACATGTCATAAGTTGTGTGGAGTGATTTCTGTGTATGTTACTGTGTAACTTTATACTGCACTATTAGAGATGTTATTTTGTTCTCTATTAACTGAAGCTCTCATAGCGTCATAACTGCAATAGCTGTCAGCCATGTTGCAAAGGAATAAAATGTTCATATTTCAACTAACACAAATGTTAGTTCTGATAATGAAGATAAGTAACACATACTTCATAACAAATCCACCAGCAACAGGGCTGACAACCCTACATAACTTTATGGCCTTCATATGTCAGTTTGTATTATGCAGTAGTTTGTGCTTGCACATTTTCCTGACATCTTTTATATAGGACACCTATGTTCAAAAAATATGCTAATCGCATATGTGTTCCTTCTTACAAATGATTACAGAAATATACGAAAATAAAAATTAAGTAACAGTACTTTTAGGCACATCTGGATTAAGGACAAAAGTTCACATAAAATGATTTTTTTACAAATTAAAAAAAATCATATTGGCATATTCTTGCTTGTTACTGGTATCACTTTCTTGTTTTACACCACCCACTTTTTCTTGTCAGCATGCTGAAGAAATTTCAAGACGATGAAATTGCATGTTTCTGTAAATGAGATGTGCATCTCATGGGTAAAGGGCAGGAAGAAGGTTAATGTGAGGTACAGTGTAAAGTTATCCCTATGCTCAATCAATTTAGCACTACACCATGAAGATGTATATGGAAAGGGAAGTATAGCTTCTCCATTTTTAACCTCAGCACTAGATCGAGGTGAGAGGTCAGCTCCATGCCCCAGCCACTTCACTCCCAGGGAAACACCACTCAGTACCCACTGTGGTGGGCTACAGAGTGAGTCTAACTGCTATGTAGAAGAGAAACTCTTTTGCCCCCTGCCTGAAATCAAACCTGGGTTCTTGGCAGTTGTCTAATCACTATATCAACTGAGCTATCCCAGCTCCTGGTAGGGTACAGTGTAGTAAATTACATGGAGTTCTGATGCTGAACAACTTCTACACACTTATCACTAATAAACATGCAACTCAAGTATTTTAAACATGCCAAATGTCATCTCATTCTTACATAAAGAACTGTAAAGTCTATTTCATCGAGTGCACTTCCATATTCTTTAATTTAATGCATTACAATGCACCAATTATTAATTCATTTAATGTTTAGCATGGTTCTGGCTTTTCAACACCAATGATGAGGCTCAAACTGTAGCCAAGTATTAGCACAGTTTACTAACATGAGTGTATTTCCATTAGATGCTGTGGCTACAAACAGCAGCTTGCATTGAGTAGCAAAGGACTTCTAAATAAAAGGTAAGCAATTAATTTTGGCCATGCTTATGAAAGCTCAAGACAATTTTTCAAACTAATTAAATTTTAATTCTTGTCATATCACAATAAAATTCTTAAGTATAAGATTAAAAACGAATGTTTTAATAGAAGTTGAGACACAAGCATAGAAATGTAAAAAAGCAGACTCAAACATTTGTGGTGATTCAAATTACATCCAGCCTCCATAGTGTTATGTTAAAAGCCACCTAATTTGCATTCACAGAATTTCCCTCATCCTGAATGGGATTCTTACAGAGAGAATCTCTGTGCACTAAGGACCCTGAAAGCAAATGTGGAGGTTCAAGAGAAACAGAGAGAACCATTTTAAGGGACATAACAATGAGGGACACTCTAACAAAAAGTCCTGAAGAGAAAAGTCAGTATATTGAGTATGGCACAAAATCTCTTCCTGGTCAATTATTTATTTTTTGTTACAACTAGAAAAAGATCACTTGCATAACAGATTACCCTATTCACTTCATTTCAAACTTTAACTTCTACCAGAATAGGATAAAACAAACTTCTGCCCATCTACCAATATCAAAAAGGAATCATAGAAGGCAAATTTTTACTTGCAAGTTTTAAATCTCTCAGAAAGTGTGTATGCTCTTTGAATCTATTCAATTTGTATCCAGTTTGTACCCCTTTAAGCCTGTTTTTTCTATTATTGTATAATACAGATTTATACTACCCTTTATGTACACTTTATTTCTGCTTTTGGTATCAAACACACTATCAGACATCATGACATACATGTACAGCGTTATGTTACAAGATGTTGAAGATATTTACACACAGCAGGTGTGGACTATCACAAAAATAGATAAATGCTGGAAGAGGGACAGTTTTCAGATGAGAATACTGTATGGCACAACGAACTGATTGTTATAACTGTAGGCCTGGCTCACTATTGTTACTGTTAGCTATTACAGATCTTAACATGTGTAGTCAGTAGTCACTTACGGTTCTTAACACTATTATTTGGACACTGTCACTTTGATGTGGGTGTTGGCTGGCCAACAGGTGTTATTGATGTAGAACCATCCCGTGGCAAACCCAAGAAGCTTGCTCCAGGCTGAGCATACCGCAGATTGTTGTGGTTCTGACATATCAGGTCCTTGTACAGCTGCAACTGTTCTGCAGATGGTGCGAATAACGGTGGAGCTGCTGCCACCTGTAGAGGAGACAGAAAGGCAGCGGCGGCAGCAGCAGCAGCCATGTTGGGAGAATAGAGACCATGTGAACCATACAGTGCAGGGTAGTACATTGGATCCAACAAGGGGAAGTGATATGGATTCTTTGCAGTGGAACTTCCTGACACTGGAGACAGCTGAGGGAGGTAACCAGGGTAAACTGGGGAGCCTGTAGGAAGATAAGACATTGAGCTTGAAGTAGGGGTAGCAGACTGAGGCGACTGTGGAGTGGTGTTTGGATGCGGCTGTCGCGATCGTGACCCATCACTTATAAGGCTTTTGCGATTGTTTGCTGCAGCGGATGAAGGGTACGGGTTAGGAATCACAAGGTGAGCACTGCTACTAGAATGGCTGCTGTTTCGCTGAGGAGGGATGTGCGTAATCGACAGGGAGTTGTGCTTTCCATTCTCATTTCTGGAAAGTGGACGATTTGATGGTGCAGGCTTGATGCTGAGTGACCTCCGGTGATGCTGCAAACCTCTGTGTTGTTCAAGCAACATCTGCTGCTGTCTCTGTTGCAATGAAGGAGATGGCTTTGGAACATCCACAATTGTTATTTCCAAATTGGAGCCTACCACTGCCCGCCCATCTATAACGGGGAATGGAGATATGCCATTGGTTTTGTGAGATGATCTGTTGGGATTCCTTGTGCTAGCATGAGGATGAACAACACTTGATACACGGCTTATGCTTACTGCAGGTTTACGCGAATTAGAAACTCGTAGATCCAGGACTTCACCACCGGAGGGCACAGGCTTAACAATGCTCCGTCTACGATTCAATGATCCTGGTGATGATTCTATATCATCTTTTGGATTTCCATACACAGTTGACTCTGAATGAGCATATATTGAACGTGACTGAGTTACACGTGGTGGTGTCCACTCATCAGTAGTACTGCTAGGACTAGGGGTTGAAGAATGGACATGTGACAAGCTTCCAGTATATAAATGCTGCAGTGCTGGATGTTTCAAGTCATGGACACTGACGTGTGTACGACGAAGACTTGGCAGCTCACAGTCAGCAGTTGGGGAAGGTGTTGAGGCAGCTGAGTTTGACTCTGTTGGAGGTGACCCCAACATGTGCGTAACATCAGGAGTCACGGTAATAGAAACCTGTCCCAGTAGAGGACTCTGGACTGGGGCAGCATGTTGTATGACAGACGGTCGTCTATCCGCAGTGATGGTAACTGACCCTATTGAAGTCGCTGAAGCCATTACTGGTGGTGTTATGGCAGTCACTTCCAACCCACCTTCTTTGAGAATCTCCAATTTGCGCTTTTTCAGTGCAGGTACAGGTGATGTTTTGACAACTTTTGAAGAAGAATCTTGTTCAGGAACAAGGTCTATCAACTCAGGCAAAGGCTTCTCACTTACACTTCCCTCACTTGCTGGCTCTTGTTTCACTTCTACCACCAATCCTTCTGATAAATTTGATACGGGAATATTTTCTTTGTCTTTAGGACGTGGCATGACTGTTGGGTCTAGTATAGTCTTGTCTGGTTTTGTTCTAACACTTCGTAGAGATGAGGTCTTACCTTCAAGAACTACAGCCTTTTCCTTCTGGCCTCCATTCAGAAGAGCACTCTGAGGAACAATAAAATGCTGTGTTAGTTCACACGCCAGTCAATCGCAGACAACGAGAAACCTGGTCTGTAAATATAATTTTCATTCTGAAGGAGGAGGGGGGTAAGAAAGATGCAAGCAAAGATAAGACTCATATCTCTATGACAACAGCAGTTTCTGTTAAAACTGAAAATTTTCGAAAACGGTATCTCAATCATTTCTAATAACTACTCAAAATAAAGAATCTGTGAAGTACACAAGAAAAAAAATGTTGGGAAAAAGTTCTTCTTTTATCATATAAAAATTCTGAAGTATGAGTGATCAAAATAACATAATAAAATGGAAGACATTTTGTAAATAAAGAAACTAGCGTAACTCTGATGACAATTGAAACAGTAGGGCAAAACTGTCTCTGAGGTAACCTTGCACTGTGGCAGACATACACCTTACTGGATTTGTGGTACTCATGGTTGAGACTATCATAAATACCACCTTCTGGCTGTAGCATCACATAATTCAGAGACAGCCCAATGTTTCAGAAGAATATACATGGTTCATTTTCAGGGTCAAAGAGAGAAACTAATGGAAGCAGGTAGTTCACACAGCTTGCCATCTGCTTCTGCAGGTTTCTTGCTCTGACCCTGGAGACAAGAGGTAGTATGGCCCTCCAAAACATCAACTCTCTCCGAACGGCATGACATTACAACTCAGAAGACAGCATTCTTCATATACCTTATTGTCTGGAGTTGACGTTTCAGTACAAGGTGGTGGTTTCACATGGCGCTCTGTCCGTTCACTTGAAGCTGATACCTTATCACCTTCATTCCTGACAGATTTTGAACGTCGCCGTTCTTTGCCTTCATCACTCTTCACACTCCGCTCATATGGAAGCAGCAACCTATAAGGTTATTATCTGAGCTCTTTACATATACAAATTCAACTCCACATACTGCTCTTACACAGAAACACGGCAAAAAAATATATTAATGGATACACACAATAAAACTTCATGTTAAAAATATATCACAACTATTTAACCTCAGAATTATTCTTCATGATGAACATGGAGTTTCAAATGAACCATACAATATCTTTTATGTAATATGAAAATTCATCTTATCATTCATAGGAATTTTCTTTCTGCATGACATACATCTTGTTTCTGCCGACACATATGTTGGACATTTTAGACTGCCTTGTTTGCTGTTAAGAAACATAAAAATTCAGAAGTTTGCTCGGTTTCCATCATCAAATAAAAGTATGAAACCTACCATAACATCAATATTTCACACTTTTACCTGATGACAGAAGGCAGCTTCCAAAACATAGCCTGTTTGTCAAAAATGAGATGAAAAAATGTCCGATGTACAATTCAGTTTAATAACAGACCTTAATCACAAACCTCTGGACTTAATAATATGTCACTCTTGTGATATCTGTCTAGAATAAAAAATACAAATATCTCTTACTGTATATATGTAACTTGAAATCACTAAATTAATTTGAAACTAAATTGAAAATAAAATATGTGTTACCTTTCATAATGTCGTCGTGTGCAGGTGGCAGCACTAGTACTACCCTGATGGCCTCCTAGATCATCATAAATAGGCTTCCACATCCGATTGGCTGTCACGACATTGTAGCCACCTAACTTTTGGACTTTACTGAAGAAAGCAAACAAGTCGACTGAAAAAACACAACACAATATTTAACAGACTTTGTAAAACAGAAGTACAAGAATCACAAATTTTTCCATTAGGCAAGATATATTACAATACAATTAAGGGAATGAAATAATTATATAAATTCTGAACTTCATTCAAGATCCCAATCAGTATCAAATGGCCTTTCATTGGAACTTCTTGCTGAAATCCCCTTTACAACAGCACTCTAGTAGTTTCCAGATCACTCAAGAACGCTACAGCTAATGTAATTCCATATTTTTGCCTTCCACGGCTTCTGGTTATTTATGAGTTTAGGATCCTTGAATCCCAGTCTCCAAAGGTCAAAGACACATAAAAATTTCCATGCATTTTCAATTACATTTCAATCTAAATGTCTTTCTTTTGTATTCAAACTGGTCAAATATATTGCCTGGATTCTTGCCTCTAGTAGCAGGATAAAAGTACACATACCAGTCCAAAATACCAGATATGTCTAAAAAAACAGTCACTCTATCAGTGCTGGGTTTTTTTTTTCTTTTTCCCAGCGGGGTGGGACCAAGTCCCTTGTACTGTGACCACTTCTGGCCTATTGTACCAGCCCCAGATGATAGGTGAGGGTGATTGTGGAGCAATTGGTGGAATGAAGATTGGCAGGGGAACTGAAGTACTTGGAGAAAACCTGCTCCAGCACGACTTTGTCCACCACAAATCCCAGTTGACCAAACCCGGTCCGTCGTGATGGGAAGTCAGCGACTACTTGTTTCACACTTACTTATCCAACCAGAAATCTCGGGTATGTGTTTCTGGTGTTCTCTCCTCACCTTCTGAAGTACTCTCCAGTGTGCCCCAGTGCAGTGTCCCTTCACTTTGATGCAGTATCAGAGCATCACAGTGTAAAATAGTGGACTTCTTATTTTATAGTGACCATTTTCTCCAGACAATCAACTCACAGATGGCAGTAAGGCTCTCAGCCTTACACATCGGCCAACCTTTACCCCAAGGAAGAATCCTGATACTCATTTTTGTTCAAGGCTGAGTCAACCCCAGGGCCCTACTGCAGCTGGAAGGATCAGGTCAATCGAAAAATAAAAAATAACCTGATCAGGAATTAAACCCATGATCTTGTGTCTGACATTCTATCTTGGGTAAATTTCTGTGTGCAGGACTACAAAAATGAAGTGCAAATTCAGGGAAAACGTGAAAAGTTTAGCAATACTGTTATGGGCATTTAGATGGGACCATCTTAAAGTGCATAAATTCACAAAATGTAACACTGAAGTTTCACTGCATATAATACCACAGCTGCAAAAGTGTGACTTTAGAAGTGAGAAATCTTTTTGCCTTTCATTTCTTCTTAATAGAAATAATTTTTACAGAACATGCACCTTTGTTGCCAAATAATCTCACAAGGTCAGCCCATTACAATTATTTTACTTCCAATTATGTACTGACCTATCAATATGTATATTTTTGACAAATTATTTCACATGCCTTCATAAATAATTTATAATTGTGAACGTTGAATGTGGGTGACTGTGAGGTATGTCCAATTTTATTGCTACTAACACCATTCTTTTCTATGTCGCAAATAAACAAGTTTAGCCTTGCAAACAATAACTACATCTGTAAACCACTATTTAAACTCTACTAATTAAATGACCCTTGGAAGCCCACTGTTGTTTTATTGGTTGCAATTAACAAATGCATGAGAACAGCTGCACTAGTGGAATTAACTCACTTTCCTTGAATCCTAAATGAGGAACTCTTCCAATGGGTGTCTGTCTCAGCTTCATGAATCGATGCAGCTTCACTAAGAATTCCTTCTCCTCAGGACTTGCATTGACTCTGCTGCTTCGTCGTGGCTGAACCAAACTGTTGCAACGCAGGCCATTTCTTCCACCACCACTGCCTGTTGGTTTGCTCTATAAGAAACATACATAAAATGAATAAACCAGCATAAGGAATCTGCCTGCAGAGACCGACATCACAAATATAATTCATTAACTTACACTTTTATTGCAAAATGTTTAGCCAAGCCTGCTACTGAAACAGATTTTATTTAAAGGCCTACATCTGATTTTCCTGTGCTCATATTAATGGCACCTTGACCTGAAATACATCAAAATAATGAAACTAGAAAATTAACAACACTAAAAAGACTCTCGTTACAACGGCGGTATACAAATTGCAGTTTGCAAACAAATTGTTGGCCTGGCCAAACTACATAGTAAAGGTAACAAAGGTAACATCCCTGCGCTTGATTATGCACCATGTCATGAAGATATATGGGGGGGTGAGGTATAGCTCCAACAATTTGTCCTGTGAACTACACAGAAGAGAGTGGTGAGCTTCATGCCCTGGCTGCTTTACCCCTGGCCAAAGAGCCCCCAGTGCCCACTGGATAGGACGAGGGGTGGACTCCAGAGCTAGAGAGGATGTTGTGAAGAACAGAAAAATCTCTTTCTCCTGTCACGAATCGAACTTCAGCTGTCCGGCCTATAGCCCGTCTCTATACCAACTGAGCTATCCTGACTCCTCCGAACTATACAGTTCCTGAAATCTGTGGGAAATGAACAAGGCTGTGAATCCATGTACACAGAGAGTTCCCAACTTAAAGACTGAGGATGTGATGTGATGCCTGATCGGGGCCCTCACACACCTCACGGGGCAGTGATGAGGAGTATGGAGCAATGGTGGAATCATGATGTGCACAGTAAAATCATAGAAATTTGAAGAAAAAAAAATTCTCCAGTGCCACAACATTCACCATAAATGTCACACCAAGTCATACAGTAGTGAACCTCAGGCTCCAAAGTAGAGATGCCAACATCAAACTGCCTGAGGCATGCCCATGACAATTAATTAATTATATTTTCGTTTACAGAAGCAGCACTGAATTATAAATTTATGACATCACTCACTAAGAAAACCGAAATTAATGGGAGGGGATTCGTTGCGCTGACCAACCAACATCCTCTATCTACAAAAGTTGGCACTAAACTTTGCCGACAAGCCGTGGTCGCTTGATCGGTATAGCTCGCTTGCAGATTAAAATTATGGAGTTCGTTTGTTTAACCTCACTCATTACACTTTAGTTTCCATCAAACAGCTTATGGCCCAAAGATTATTCAAGTTCAAAGGGGAAACATGGGCAATTTATGCACTTCATCCATGCAGACAGAACCTGTGCTTGGAAAAAAACAAAAATGTAAACCAGCTTGTTGTATGAAAAAGATAAACATTTTCTCTATACGTTTAAAATTTAAAATTGTTAGGGTTACTCGCCCTATGTCTAAAGTTAAATTTTAAATTTAAAATTTAGAGAAAATTTTAAAGGATTTTAAAATTATAACTAAAGATTTTATAGTGCTACTACAGGAAAATCAAAATTGACGTGTGCAAAATAATCTACATACCAGACAGATATCAACGAGGTAGATGTTGATAATAACGAAGAAAATAACAATGTGTTTTTTAAATGTTAAATTTTAGACTGGGTTCAATGTGGTAGCAACGTAAGAGTATACGCCTGATGATGGCCGTTAGAGGCCAAAACATGTAGCGTAGAAGAGAGCAAGATCAAAGACATATAATATACATTGTTTGCACTTGGGATGGAGTTTGTATCATTTATCGTGTAGAGTGCAACAGGATGCTTAAATATAATAAATATAATACTATGAAGAAAGCAGTGTTCTTGGAAGCGGTGCCGAGAGGTGGGGTTCTGTCTCAGAAAGCCATGGAAGCTTCTCATCTTCTCCCTCAAGAAACCTTTGGGACATAACGCTAGATCCACTAGGCCATGCAAGTCCATGCCCGACTTGCATTGCAGCCCCTAAACTTCAGGGTTAATGCCCTCATATTAACCTTGCTTTTCTCGCCCCCACACAATTTCTATACCTGCTCTAGCCTGCTACCTGCTGGCCCACCTACCCAGACCCTTCCCCTCTCCTCTCTACTGATTTCTCATGTAGCCCCCCTCCATTCTCTTCCTGCTCCTATACAGTTCGACTCGACATTAGTCTGTGAGCACCTGCTCACGCTGGTTCCTCGCTCGCGGATTTTCGTCTTTCTTCTTCTACCCTGAAGATGGAGGCGATACATTCCTCCGAAACGTCGGTTAACACAATATCTACACAGCGCCACATCCCAGAAGACTGCTTTCTTCAACTACATAATAGATTAATGCAAAAGGGTGCTTGAATATAATATTATTTATTTAGTCTGATACTGAAATTTTGTAGTTAATATTCTTGAAGAATGTGTCACCTGCTTGCAATGAAGCGCCACATCTTGACCAAGCACACGGACCACTTTGCAATTAACATTACCTTCACGGTGGAGGACACAGTTGACAATGAAGACTCTTCGGATTCATTGGATTCTGAACCTCCAGGCGATAAACTTCGCTTTTTACGTTTCCTTCGAGGCCGTCCTTTTAAGTTTGGTGCTGAAATACAAAAAAACAATAAATAAACTTGCACATTCCGTCCAGTAAAGGAATAATTACAGCGAGAGACCTGAGGTTCTCATGGTGATATCAAAATTACGGCATTCTAAGAAGTCATGCTAGGTCCTTTGGTAGATACCTATCAACGTTTTGAAGGAACCGGATGCGACCATCCTCAGTGTAGAAGCTGGACGCAGCAGAGTCCTCCAAAATGTTGGTACCCAGCCCTAACCCACATGCGTATCAGTTGTGGACATGTTAAAAAATTGCTGCTCTCAAGCAATGAAGACCAACAAGCATTTATTGCCGTTTACTTATTTACACTTGCACAAATGAACTGATTCAATAACTACTTGCCTCTTGTATTGAGAAATGAATGTGTAGATACTGCCTTGGAACAAAGGTTTAAACATAAACAAATTCAGGAGAAGAAATGGACAGCACCAGACTACATTCAAAATTCTTTCAAATCAGGTGGGTATTAAAGACCATAAGTAACCATAACATGGGAAATAAATTTTGACACCAAAGAAACTGAAGGTATGACGTTTCTAATCTATAGCACGTGTTTACATTTGAACAAGAGTCACATAGGATACCAATTAGTTCTTAAAGTAATACATTATGTTAAACTATGTTTAAGTAGAAGGTCAATTACAGTTCTACGGTACATGTGAAAACACACTTGGTTACACTCGTTGGTCTCATTAGTTTATCCCCTGCAAATCCAACGGAGGAGATGCGGATTTTCACAGCCGCTCATTAGCTACAGCACATTTAACAGCCAAAATTGTATGTCCTCTCATACGGACGGAAGCTCCCTCAACAACAGATTCAACGCAGACATGTGGAAATCTTTCATGCCTGTGTGGCATCCTTCACTGGAATTTGAAGTCTTCATGAATACTTCAGTTCTGTTTCTCCAGTTATTCTGTGATACAAATGTAAAGCTGTCCCTGTGCTTAAGCATTATGCCAAGAAGGCGTAGGGGAGTGGCTCCACCTTTCTTGATCTCGGCACAAGATGGAGGTGAGTGGCCAGCTTCACGCCCCAGTCGCTTTATCCCCGGGGAAAGAGCCCGAGCTGCCCTTTTAATAGGAGGTTGGATGGGCCCCAAGACCGGTCCGGACGCTGTGGACAAGAGAAAAATATCTTGCCCCTGCTTGGAATTGAACTGGAATTGAACCCCGGCTGTTCAGTCCAATGCCCGTCACTATACCGACTGCGCTGCTGTATAGATTTCTAAATACGACAGAATGAGTCTGATAAAAAGAAAGAGGAGAGAGGGATCTTCAAGGCACGTGTGAAGGAACTGAGGAAAACCACGATACTAGCCACCCGTCATTCAAACTCTACCCGGAACACTTAACAATTCGTATATAAAGAGAGTAAGTTGGGATAAATACGCAAAGCGTAACATTCATGGCGCTTCTGCCGCATACATTTTCTCGAAAACTGTCACATTTACGGAAAACATGAACTAGGCATAAAAGTATTTCATTTTCTCTATGCCCTTTTTTTTTATACATTTTTCAGTCCACTAGATAAGCGGTTAGAGAGCCACGGTCGAGATTCACGCAAAACCGCATGAAAAGTACCAACTCTGATGAAATTCCCCAGTTTCATACTACAAGAAACTCCATCATGTGGCTCGAGAGCTGTAACAAGCGGACAGATGACCGAAAAGCTCAAGGGCATGGAGAAGCCATGCAACCTTTCGTCGCAAGTATGCCAAATCCATCGTAATATATTCACCTGATTAAAGACTGCAGAGTCTAATACAAGTGTTCTATGTATCAGTAGCCAATATGTTCAAGGGATTATATGAGAGACTGACAAAAATCGTTCAGCCGGTCCAGAGGAAAAGAGGCAAGCTTCTGGCCTTCGCTCATTACGCACGTGTTCGAGCCTGCAGCGCAGTCGACAAGCCACCAGGCCAACAAATCACACGGGAACACAGAACAGATCAGAGAAGATACCGGAAATGGTCTGTTGTTATGCATGTATTTCTTGCACCTCCGTAAACTGTTCGCGTTCAAGCGTTCGCGGTTCTTTTTGGAAATAACGAAAACTTAAAACTTTAAACCAAGGTCTCCTGAGTAAGGTGTATTAAGGATTTCATCCATTTTCTCTTCATTGAGCAATCGTCGTTTTGAGTCGCTTCCTGCCCACTGTGTTTACGTCTGTACGAACAGTTATTTTTTCTGTTTGGAACTGATATCCAGAAATTTATGTCGCCATCTTCTTATTTTCGACATGGATATCGTACACGAACACTCCTTTCAATACAACTGCCACGTGGCATTTTGGCACGCGACTTATTACAATTTAACGCAGCAGCACGAGCTTAGCATCACGGTCGACGGATACATAATGCATAAGCCCGCTTCCATTAAAGCTGCAGCAGTGACAGTGCAAGGGAATTACGGTCTATACAGGCTACTGGTTTGTCGACCACGACAGTCTGCGCCGAAAGGTTGGAGGGTGGATCTCAAAAACACTGTCTGTGTTTATCGGAACAGCATATAAAAAGCCTAAGTGTCGAATTTGGATCAAAACAAGACTGCAACATGTTGAGGCTGTGACGTGGAGTCACAGCTCAGAAAAGAGTCTCCATAGACGTCGCTGTGAGATCCTCAACTCCAACATAATTTATTCCATGGTTTCCGTCCAATACTGTTCATGAAACTGTTCATACTGTATCCGGTGGGCTGCGTACGTGTTAACTGCAGCAGTTTGTAGGTGAGACGGCGTCATCCTTAGCGACAGTTGCTGCTCATAAGCATCTTTATATAGCAACTTTGGAAATTAGGCCGCGCCACAGCTCGAGAGGTTGGTGGCTGGCTTCCCATCGCGGCGGCCGGGTTCCATCGCGGGTCTGTTCAAGTGGGATTTGTGGTGGACAAAGTAGCGCTGAGGCAGGTTTTCTCCAAGTACTTCGGTTTCCCCTGCCAATCTTCATTCCACCAGTTGCTCCACAGTCACCCTCACCTATCATCTGGGGCTGGTACAATAGGCCAGAAGTGGCCGCAGTACAAGGGACGTAGTCCCACCCCAGCAATGGTGTGGGGGGTGGCGAGGAAAGAGGTGCAGGGTCCCAAAGAGAACCACTGTGCGTTGTGTGGAAGAAATAAAGAGCGATTTGCCTAATCATAGCTGAAAGAGGCAATTCTGGAAATTATGTACTTCTCCACAGCAGTGACGAAAGTGATACAACTTAGTTACTTGAATTTAGTGGTGAGAGTGAGAAATTCTGGATCGTCACGGAAGCTAGTAAAGGCCCAATAAATCCTGTTTATAAAGTGCCAATGTTTATCATCCAGATCAATGCGCCTCCTAAGAGGAACCATGTAGCCCGCGTCAGCGGATGCAGGATATCGGCAGTGCCAAATGTTTTATATTTTACAACACTATTAATCTGTGCTGAAGAAAATTCGTATTTTTAACCTTTTCCGATAAACGCTTTAAATCTGTTCACTCATTTCTGGTCCACATAGATTCACCACCAAAAACGTAAACAAAACAATAAATCTTCTTTTCTTTCACAAGCAGTGAACCGTGCCGTTTCTTCATACCACTGCGTGCTAAGTGGCTTTCATTTACTGCTGTCCTGTTCAGTTGTTCTCTATCACTGTATTGAAAAGCAACTTCTTTTTAAATGGGAAAAGTTTCTCCCAGCGTTTGCCGCAAACACAGCGTTTCTAATGAACTTTCAGCCGTATTCATATTAGACTCGCCACTGGGATACAACACATGTACTTTAATCACAGAATCGCATTTCGTCACACACAAATAAGAAACCTAACGATATTAACACGTGATAGCCTGTCATAAGGAGGTGGCAGAAATTGCCATGAAAAGTGAGCCCGTGGGTGGGGGCCGTGAGGCAAGGCCCTCCGTGAACTCCTTACATCTCAAGCGACATCAATCCGGAATTTGAAAACAAAATGAAATCCACCAAACTACTTTTTATGCTAGACTAACTACTATATAAATACTATATACTATAAATACTATATAAACAAACTAGAAATTCATCAAGGTAAATACCATACGGAAAAATACAGAAACTCTCTAAGTGATGCAATTATGNACATCTCAAGCGACACCAATCCGGAATTTGAAAACAAAACGATATCCACCAAACTACTTTTTATGCTAGACTAAATATAAACAAACTAGAAATTCATCAAGGTAAATACCATACGGAAAAATACAGAAACTCTTTTAAGTGATGATATTATGGAGTCTGGTCTACACGTAAACACAAGAAAAATGTATGTATTCGTCACAGAATGCCAGAAAAATCGTTCCCGGGCAACGGCTTCTAACAGTGGAGATAGTTCAGCTTCATGTGCTTAGGTCCCATCTTCACAGCTTCCCGTGCAGAACTTAACTGAACTCAAAGTCAAAGTCACATTGCGACTGACGGTCAGTCAGTCAGTCTGTCTGTCTTGGTGTCGAGCCTCAGCTGGGGCGCTTCTTATANGAGAAAGCTCTAGATCGCATTAAATGGAGGAATTGTTTTGGAAGAGACTGTGGACCTGTCGTCTTGACAGATTACTGATGATGATGATTATGGAGTCTGGTCTACACATAAACACAAGAAAAAATGTATGTATTCGTCAAAGAATGCCAGAAACATCGTTCCCTGGCAACGGCTTATAACAGTGGAGATAGTTCGGCTTCATGTGCTTAGGTCTCATCTTCACAGTCTCCCGTGCAGAATTTAACTGAACTCAAAGTCAAAGTCACATTGCGACTGACGGTCAGTCAGTCAGTCTGTCTGTCTTTCTTGGTGTCGAGCCTCAGCTGGGGCGCTTCTTATATGAAAGTTGCTGTCCTGTCCATTTGGTGCGCCCTCTCTAACGAGAGGTCGGGTCTGTCATTTGTCAGTCTGTATTAGTAAGTCCATTGTCAGTATGTACACTTATTTACAAGGTTATACTTAATATATATATTTTTTATTACTAGTGGGGTGGGACTAAGTCCCTTGTACTGCGGCCACTTCTGGCCTATTGTACCAGCCCCAGATGTTAGGTGG